GATAGATGCATAGATGTATAGACAAATGTATAAATGTCGAGATAGATAGTTAGATGTCTAGATTGATGTATAGACAAATGTATTAATATAGAGATAGACAGATGTAAAGGTGTGTAGATTGAAGCATAGATGTATGGATAGATGTATAGATATCTATGTAGACAAATCTATAGATAGATGTATAAATGTTGAAAGAGACAGATGTCTGTATAGATGTCTACACAGACGTATAGATGTCTACATAGATGTATAGATGTTTAGATAGACAGATGTATATATGTATATGTATCTATATAGATATATAGACAAATGTCGAGATAGAGAGATGTGTAGATGCCCAGATAGATGTATAGATAGCTGTATGGATGTCTAAATAGATGGATGACATGACAGATACATAGATCGATGTGTAGGCGTCTAGGTAGATGTGTGGATGGACGGATGGACGGACGGACAGACGGACGATAGATAGATGCACTCATGTGGCACCAAATGTTGAATATTATTTTGAGGCAGGTATATTCTACTAATTAGCAGAAGCGACAGAAGAAAATAATCACCACTATTTAATTACATCTTTTTTACCAGCCAATTAATTCTGACCTAACAGAGGTTAAGCATGTCGGTTGAATGCATTTCACACTGGACACGCAGTGTTTTTGTGATCCGCTTCTGAGCCGACCTTTTCTTGCCCAAATCCACTAGGGGATCAGAGGTCATGCTCAGTTACATAACAACACCTCTGGAGGTGTCAGGGACTCCATGTCTTACTCACAGACCCTGAAACAGGCCAGATCTTGTTTCTCTATATGCTAGCGTGCAGACCTTATTAACAATCCTCGTGATAAATTTGCCACATACAATCGATTACTGATACATGATAGGATCCACATAAATGCTGTCATATCAAGCATAATTACTCATATCAGTGTGAGCTGGACTGCTGTTGTATTGATGTTTTATTCCCATCTGCACTAATTAGACCTTCCTGTGTGCGAGTAATGCAACACTGTCTGTGCACACGCTCACTTGCATGAATAACAAAACTATTCTGAAGAGTGGCGTTGAATGCATCATTCCCTGCGTGAAGTAAAGGACAGACCAGTTTGGAAACTGTGCACATCAGAGAGATGGGGAGGTGTGTGGAAAAATTTGTAGTGCAAACATGTTCTGTTAAAATTGTAGCTCCAACAATCTATTTCACGGTCTCTGAATGGCAGCGTTGATTCAGCACCACGGACAGTGACGCAAGGCAGATCTGAATCCTGAGGTCTGAGCTGACATCACTTCAGACTACAGTGTTTTTATCCTCTCCTCTGTTCTCTCTCCATCTGTTCACATTGTCTTCGTGAAGTGGAGAAAGAGTGGCACGTTTGTTTTTAAACTGTGCTGCACTCCAAAGGCTGCTGCACGTTGCATTCCAGCACGCTGCTATCTTTTTAATTATTCACCCAAATATGCCTTTGATCCGAGCACCTGACCAAGCTTCCATATTCTTTCCAAACTGCCCTTCTAAATGAAAGTGGCTGAGGTTTAAAACCATTGATGAGTGTCTTAAAAGTACCAGTGAGCTAACAGAATTCCCACTGCTATGCTGGAGAAAAATACAAAGAAGGATCACAACACATATGAAGACTTGGAGCATATGTGAAAACAGATGATATTCATTTTGAAACAACGGACTGAATCTTCCATACTGAAGCAATTTTTACCTTATTGAGTTTTGATATGGAATTCTTATCAGGGTAGAAACCTGCCTCAACAAGAGGATCTGTGTTTAAACTCCATGTCGGGAACAGCTTAATCTGCTGAGGTATCCTTGAGAAATACAAAATCAGAAAGTGATTTAAGACTACAATAACTCATAACTACTGCTTTATTTAAAGGCATGTAATATTTAAAATTCAATTTGGTATTTAAGCTGAAAGGGCTCTTAACTGTACCATGAAGAATATATAGCACAGTAGACCAGTTGAGCAGAGTACCACAGAGCAGTGCTTCTCAGTCCTAAGGAATTACAGCTATGCTGGTTTTCTACCCTCCCAGGTAGTTAATAGCATTCACTTGGTGTCTCAGGTGTAAATAGTCCCTGTTAGATGGTTAGAATGCAAACCAGCAGGGCCCTGGCTCCCGAGGTCCAGGATTGAGAACCACTGCTGTAGAGAACATTTCTACAAGGCTTCACAGCAGTGTCTTTCGTGAATAGTCATCGGGACCTACAGTCCTGCTGGTTTTCTTTATAAACATCTGACAGGGACTTTTTTATGCCCAGTATGCCAGATGAATGCAATTATTTAGCAGCACACCTGGGTCCGGCAGAGCTGAAGTGTCATGAGGACAGGGCTCTTTGGTATTATGGTCTACATATTGTGAATCCACATTGTAAAGAACTAGAATTTATAAGAATATCTAACATATAACTTCAATTAATAGCCCGGGCTATTATTTCCTTAAATCATTTAAATCAACGGGTCTATATTTGGGACAGGCCTTTAATTCCTTGACCCAAAACCGTTGCTCAGCAAAGATGGGAAATACAATTAAAATGTTTATTTAAACCAGTATAAATATTACTTGTATAAAAATTAGGCTCCAGACAATATATTAATTATGAATCATTTATTTGATCTAGCCCCAATAGACAGCGCATCACAGAGAGAAAGAGCTATGGCACTCGAGGATTACAGCACCCAGCATACTGACACAACACCACTTTATCCTGTTAAAACAATACTCACAACTTGAATTAATTTTTATGATAAACCTGTTTGATTCTTTTGATCTGAGGACCCTTATTGACTAAAGGAATATGAATAACTTACAGGGCAATTGAGAAATGGACACATAATTTGGCTGAGTTTTATACATCTAAAGAACCCCCTTTTGCCTTCAGAACTGGCTTAATTCTTCATGACATAGATTAAACAAGGTGCTGGAAACATTCCTCAGTGATTTTGGTCCATATTGACATGATAGCATCACGCAGCTGCTGCAGATTTGTCAGCTGCACATCCATGATATGAATGTCCCGTTCCACCACATCCCAAAGGTGCTCTATAGGATTGAGATCTGGTGACTGTGGAGGCCATTGGAGTACAGTGAACTCATTGTCATGTTCCAGAAACCAGTTTAAGTTGATATGAGCTTTGTGACATGGTGTGTTATCCTGCTGGAAGTAGCCATCAGAAGATGGGTACACTGTGGTCATATAGGGATGGACACGGTCAGCAACAATACTCAGATAGGCTGTGGTGTTTAAATAGTGCTCAGTTGGTACTAAGGGGTCCAAAGTGTGCCAAATAAATATCCCCCACACCATTACACCACCACCACCTGCCTGAACGGTTGATACAAGGCAGGATGGATCCATGCTTTCATGTAGTTTAAGCCAAATTGACCCTACCATCTCAATGTGGCAGCAGAAATCAGGACTCATGAGACAAGGCAACGCTTTTCCTTCTACTGTCCAGTTTTGGTGAGCCTGTGTGAATTGTAGCCTCAGTTTCCTGTTGTTAGCTGACAGGAGTGGCACCTGATATGGTCTTCTGCTGCTGTAGCCCATCTGCTTCAAGGGTCGAGGTGTTGTCCATTCAGAGATGGTCTTCTGCATAGCTTGGTTGGAACGAGTGGTTATTTCAGTTACTGTTGCTTTTCTATCATCTTGAACCAGTCTGGCCATTCTCCTCTGACCTCTGGCATCAACAAGGCATTTTCACCCAGAGAACTTCAGCTTACTGAATATTTTTTTTATCTATTTAACCAGGATGTCCTATTGAAATTTAATTTTTTTTTTACATGAGAGACTTGGCCAAAGTAGCAGCCAATCAAAAGACATTTAAAATGCAACAAATACAACATATAATATAAAAATCCACAATAAAACAACAACTGTTCAAACACAGTGGCCTCTCAAGAAAAACAAGCACGTCTCTGTCAGCACATTCTTTATGATGCCCGTAAATTCACTGATAGCCATAAGTGTTTCTAATTTTAGATCTTTTTGAAGATTGTCCCATGTCCATAGAGCACAGCAGGAAAATGTAGTTTTCCCTAGATCTGTTAAAACCCGAGGTACATTATAAAGCAACCATCCTCTGTAAACCCTAGAGATGGTTGTGTGTGAAAATCCCAGTATATCAGCATTTTCTGAAATACTCAGACCAGTAAATCTGGCACCAACAACCATGCCACATTCAAAGTCACTTAAATCACCTTTCTTCCCCATTCTGATGCTCGGTTTGAACCTCAGCAGGTTGTCTAGACCATGTCTACATGCCTAAATGCATTGAGTTACTTTCACGTGATTGGCTGATTAGGTATTTGTGTTAATGGACAGTTGAACAGGTGTACTTAACAAAGTGGCCGGTGAGTGGAAATCACAAGAAATAAATGATTCACCAGTTTATTCAAACATTTAAAACTACTGATGCACAGCATTGCAATGACTTTACAAAGCGACTATTCCCCCCTCAAACCAGCCCCCAAATTTTGCCTCGTTGCTGAAACAAAACTAAATGACCTGACATAAGCAGGAGGAGTCGCACAAATGCTGCCTTTGCACTGTTTAAACGTCCCGAGCTTTCCACTCTACACAAATGTTTGCATTCCTACTCTGCCCTGTGGGACCCTCAGGCATCCTGCTCTCCCATTGGCCTGGGCCGTGCGCTCATTATGCAAAAGAGACGGTGGGCGTGGCCTTTGCACAGGAGTACGAGTTGACGTCACGTACGGAGTGGCAGCAGAGGGGGGGGTGGGGGGTGCGCGGGAGGTGGGGGGGGGGGGGGCTTAAAAAATGAAAACACATAAAGCATAAGGAAAAATAAATAAGGCTGATTCCAAACAAGGGGGCTGTAAAGGAAGAGGAGAGAGGAGAGAGTAGGGAGGGAAGAGCGGAGGGGGAGTGAGGAGCGAGGAAGATATAAGTAGGGGAGGGGGGTTGGGGGGGGTGAGTGTGCACTGTGCAGTTGACTACAGAGAGAGAGAGAGAGAGAGAAGGGGAGGGAGGGAGAGAGAGAGAGAGAGAGAGAGAGAGAGAGCAGCTCGCCGGCCCATTGAGGAAAGATGGCTACAGTCACTGCAAACGGAGTGCAGCAAGAGAATGGATTCAGCACCACGAACAGCGCCGGCAGGATGAACGGGCTTACCATCGGCCAGAACACCATTCCAATGAAGGACCACGACGCCATCAAGCTTTTCATCGGGCAGATTCCCAGAAACCTGGAGGAAAAAGACCTGAAACCCCTGTTTGAGGAATTCGGAAAGATATACGAACTCACTGTACTGAAAGACAGGTTTACGGGAATGCATAAAGGTTGGTTATTTTGGTATCTCTACTTTTGTGATCCTTTGCAGATGACAGGGGTGAGCGAGGCGGGGGGGGGGGGGGGGGGG